GAGATATACTTGAACTTTTGTCTATCCTACTACCAAAAATATACTGAGACATTTTGTCTAACATACTATAAGAATATACTGCGAAGGGGGTCATGTTCTTTAACCTAATCTCACATTCTGTAATAGCCCGCTCAACCGCAAACTACAATGAATTCATCAAAGACAGAATATCTTTTTATTTGTTGTTTCTTCCATTTTTCTATTTCAAACAAAATGTAAGCAGTTTGTACAGAAACAATAAACACATTAAGATTACAGAAATATCTGAATATGGTAACTCACTATCATGGAATAATTACAAACAAACTTACAATAAAATCATGGCCTGGTAATAGCACACTGAGGCTGACTTTTGCCCTTTTTTTCAAGGCACATTAAATGTGCATCTGTTATTATCAGATGTGAAATGATGTGAAACTTACGATAACTAAATAACTTGGATTGTATTCAAGCTGGTCAACTGATTTTCAAACACTTCAAGTGACATTCAATTTCTGTTAAACAACAGGAAAACTGATTGGAAAGAAAAAAACCCCCCCAAAATTTAGCGCTGAAAATCTGTGAAAATGTTCAACAAGGTGTATACTTCAAATAAACGTATTGCGCCTTTGGTATTGAAGCAAATGAATCTCAAAAACTATGAATTACCCTTGTTGCTAAACAATTACTTTATATTTCCTTTTCATCATGGCGTGTTTGACACAGTGAGAAGTAACATCTCCGCTTCTGGATTTTCATTGGTCTCTAGAGCCTGCCGGAGTTTTTCCCAGAACAGCTCTATGTTCTCTGCAGCTCGCGGCCAGCTCAGGTAGGTTTTCTTCTTCAACATCTTCCTCATGCGGTGGTAGGGAGACAGCAGATAGCTGGGAATGTCCTCCAGAAACACCAGGATAAGTATGTCCTTCTGCTCATCAAACAGACGAAAACTAAAGATGGAGAAAAAGAAACCCAAGTGCTTTATGTCTTGAATTCCTGAAGTCATTTTAACACAAAGACACAAAACTGATTCAAAAGAATAAAATAAAACAAATCATAAGACATTAAGGAGGAGAATAAAAGCTGGAAAAAATTTTTTTTAATAAGTTTTATGCATGCCAGTTTGAAAAATTCAGGTTAAATGTCACTAAACAGGTTAATTGCAATACTTGCTTTTTCAAATATTATTCACTTCTGACTAGCAAGGCAAATGTCTTGGGTAATCCTCAGAATACGGAGGATTAACTGCAGAGGTAACGTGTCAGCTGTAGATATGACAAAAGACATTCAGGCGTGTGCAGCAGTTTGCTGGAGTTTATACTTTTGGTGTAGCATTATTTTCCTTGGAAAACCTGCTGTAGTGGGTAATGTTGAATTTTTGTTAATTTTATCAAGTTCCATCTAGTGGTAAAAACTACTATCGATGTTTTGTTTTTTTAATTGAAAGGTAAATAACTAGGTAAAACAATAAGGATTGTAGAAAACCTGCAATCACATAAATGGGGAAGTGAACCGTAATATGTGTCATGTTTAGTGCCGTGGGACAGGCGGGACCCAAAAGCAGGACTGACATACATAGAAGGATGAACTCAAAGATGCAACTTTTATTGCATTGAAGCAGAAAACAAACAAAACCTGGAACTCACGAAAACAAAATCTATACTGGAAACTGGAAGGCAAAGAACTAAAAGACTAGAAAACAGGGAGCTAGCTATTACCAGGGATGTGAAAAAACACAGAAAAAGTCACAGCACATGGGACGACATGACGACAGGCAGAGCAAAATACAGGGCTTAAATACACAAGCGAATAAGGAAGGAATTAGACACAGGAGGAGAGCACAGCTGGGAGTAATCAGACATAACCAGACTGGGAGGAAGCAAAACTGAAAACCCTCACATAGCACACGAGACTATCAAAGTACAGGAAACATTCACAAAGATGCAGATTTGACACTGAGGCAATGAGACATGACTGAAGAGACACGGGGAACATGAAGACAAGAGTGACTAGACATGAAACATTGAACACCTCCATTGATGCACCCTCAAGCATCCTTGAGGGTGCATGGTAAACAGCTGGTGCAGTTTTCCGCAACCGGGACAAAAACCACATTGTTCTTCCTGTATTCAAGGTTCAAATAACAAAGGGACTCTCCTTTCCTTGTCGGCAGGGCACCACTGCCTCAGTGATCTCACCCTCAGAGATAGATAAGTTGTCCCGTTCATCCCAAGACTCTGCTTCCTCTAAGAAAGACGTGTCAATGGGATTTAGGAGGTCCTTTAAGTATTCCTTCTACTGCCCATCTACTGTCCTCAGTCAAAGTCAGCTGTACTCGACCACAATATACACAGTGCAGGTTGAGCACCGCTTTCCCCTCCTGAGTCACCTGACAGTTTGCCAGATTCTCTTTGAAGCAGTCCAAAAGCCTTTTTCCATGACCTCTATGATCTCCTGTGTTCTGGTTGGCCTGTTGGTACTTATCAGTGGCCTCCGAAGTCCCACAGCCTAACCAAGTCCAATAGGACTCCCTCTTTAGCCTGATGGTTTCCTTTAACTCTGGTGTCCACCATTTGGTTTAGTTGTTACCACCACAACAGGCATCAATCAGCAATGGAGGTGCTGAACATAGTCCATTCAGACTCATTGTCCCCAGTCTCCAAGAAGGTTGGGTACTCTGTTGTTCGGCGCATGACCGCAAATGACAGTCAGGACCCATTCCAAGACTTAGTATACAGGCAGCAAGCCGACAGGGATACTAACATACCCACCCCAGCCTGCCGCCTCTCACCTAGGGCAAGTCCAGAGTGAGACAAAGCCCAGTGTCACTTCAGGGGACTGGTTCTGGAGCCCAAGCCAATGCATTGAGGTGACCCCTGGATATAAAAAGCCGGTACCTCTAAATCTCACGCACAAGTGCAGACTCCTTCCCCACCAGATAGGTGACATTGCATGTCCCAATCGCTAGTCTCGGTAGCTAGGGATCAGTCTGCCAGGGA